ACAAACCAAAGTATGGGGTGCCGCAGGGTTCGATCCTGTCCCCCCTCCTGTTCAACATCTACATGAAGTCGCTGGGTGAGATCATTCGACGGCACGGGATGAAATACCACCAGTATGCAGACGATACACAGTTGTATATGTCCGCCCCGTGCTAACTCAATGAAGCGGTTGACGTGTTTGTATTCCCCCCCCCTTACTTTGGTTTGTGAGCCGCCCTGAGTCCCTCTGGGAATAGGGTGGCATAGAAATGCAATAAATCAAATCAAATCAAAGTCCTCAACCTTCCCAAGTCATTTGCGGCCAACCACGTCACTACTCCACCTGGGAACCATCATCAATTCAGTGACATGCGAAGTTTCCCTATCGCCAGGTGTTGGCGGCAGAGCATCCAACACCTGGCAAATTAGGTATTGTCTCAAAGGTTTTTGCCACTGGCAACGCTGTCCAAATTGCTGGGAAAGATGATCTCCTGTATCAACGTGGTTCCCTGGGCCAGGATCCATACGCGCCCACTCCAATGGTTCCTGCTTCCCTTCCAGAGGGCGCACACCAGTCACTCCCAGATCAAGGTTCGGCTTCCACACAAGCCTCTCAGATCCCTTCGATGGTGGATGTCCTCCAGGCTCCTCCAGGGGTGTCCCTTCAAGGAACCAGAATGCATCCAGGTCACAACGGATGCCAGCCTATTTGGATGGGGAGCCCCTGCCCTGAACCGAGTGGCTCAAGGGCGATGGTCGGGACAGGAACTATCGAACAGCATAAATTGGCTGGAGTTCCGCGCCATCTACCTAGCCCACCTGGAGTTCCGGGACATTGTGACACACAACCAGAACCAAAATCAATGTATTGATTTTGACCGACAACGTTGCCTCCAAGTCTCACGTCAACCACCAAGGGGGCACCCACTCCAGAGCCCTGATGCAGGAGGCGGAGAGGTTACACCACTGGGCGGAGGCCAGGCTCTTGTCGATTCGGGCGGAGCACATCTCGGGTGTGGCCAACACGCAGGCGGATTGGCTGAGCAGAGCCACCGTGGATCAAGGGAAGTGGCAGCTCCACCCCGTTCTCTTCCAGGAACTCTCGCCGATTCGGCCGTCCCGAAGTAGACCTGTTTGTGCAACCACACAACACACAACTACTGCGATTTTACACCAGGTACCAGACTCCTGGAGCGGAGAGGGTGGATGCTCTATGCAGTCCATGGCTGGCCGGTCTTCTCTATGCTTTCCCTCCTCTCCCGATCCTCCCATCAGTCATCCAGAAGATCTTGACGGAACAGGCGGAGGTGCTGCTAGTCGCTCCGATGTAATCCAGACGGCCCTGGTACGCAGACCTCGTCCACCTGTCGGTTTCACATCCGTGGAGGATTCCGGACGATCAGATCCAGCTCAACCAGGGGGCTCTCATCCACCCGAACCCCCAGCTCCTGCAGTTAGCCATGCGGCACGTGAGTGGGCTATTCTAACCGCACTTCACTATTCAAGAGAAGTTATTGACACTATACAAGCGGCTCGACGTCCATCCACTACTCTATATACGAGGCCACATGGCAGGCATTCTGTAGGTGGTGTCCGCCGCTCCGGGGCCGACCCCATCAAGGCTTCGGTGCCTCAGGTCTTAGACTTTTTGCAATCCGGTCTCAATAAAGGTCTGGCGCCCAACACACTTCGTCGACAGGTCACCGCCTTGTCCACGGTGATTTGAGGCGGTCAGGGCCGTTCCTTGTCCCAACACTCACGGGTCAAGACCTTTCTGAAAGGCACCTCTAACTTGCGACTGCCGACGGTGCACCGTTATCCCACCTGGGACTTGACCTTGGTCCTCAGAGCTCTCACACCTGCTCCCTTTGAGCCCATTCATTCCATCAGCCTTTGGTTACTGTCGCTCAAGACTGTGTTCCTGGTGGCCATTACATCGGCCAGGAGGGTGTCGGAGTTGGCTGCGCTTTCTGTTCGGGCGGATCTTTGCATTTTCCATCCAAACAGAGTAGTGCTTCGTTTGGACCCGACTTTCCTCCCTAAGATCAACACGTTGTTTCACAGGGCTCAGGAGCTCGTCCTCCCGGACTTTTGTCCGCATCCTTCACATCCTCAGGAGCACCAGTGGCACCATTTGTATGTTCATAGGATCTTCTGGCATTATGTGAAGCGCATGGCATCGTTCAGGAGGTCGGAGGCGCTGTTCGTTTCATTCCAGCCGTCGTCCATTGGACAGAAGGTGTCTTCCCACACCATCGATGGTTGAAGGCGTGTATTGCATTGGCGTACGACAGTCACTCCCGGCTGGTTCCCAGGCGTATTACTCCTCACTCTACCAGGAGTGCGGCCACCACAGCGGCCTGGGCTACGCAAGCCTCAGTGGAAGAGATCTACAGGGTGGCCACCTGGGCGTCACCTTTGCCATTTATTCGACACTACAAGATTGACGTGGAGGCCTCGGCTGAGGCCTCCTTTGGGCAGAGAGTGTTGCAAAGGGTCCTTTCTTCTGCGGAGGAGCCTGACCAGCCTAGCTCCCGCCCTGGGAATTA